AAAATAAGAATTCTCGTGCTTCTTTTTGAAACTCTAGGGTTACTTCGTAATAAACTTAGTAAATTATTTAAATTTGGATTTGTTAAATTTGTTTAGCACCAAGATTTAGTGTATATACCAAAAATACCAGAACAAATCTCAAAGAGAACGAACCTTAAGAAAAAAGGGTCTCCTTTTGAGGTAAGCAATCAACCTACGATCTAAGACCGAGCATTAAGCTGCGTCTCAAGCTCTGGAGATGATTCTCTGCTTGGTAGCAACAAGACTTGCCGAAAGTGAGGCGTGAATCATCTATGCAGTGAATCTTGTTGGATACCCTATGTTGGCTTGGAAAAGATCTGCTTAATACCTTGCAAGATTAGGAGATCCGGTTGAGGCGACTAACAATTCAGACAAGGGAGACACAAACCCTCTATGACAAGCCTGAAAAAATGAGCCACGAATCACTACAAAAAAGCTGGATGAACACATTCGACTGAACAACCCTGCGTCCTGACAGAATGACTGACCAATGCTTACTCCAGATGGCACATATGTCACTCGGCAGTTCATCTCAGTCAATTGACTTCAAGCCAACAGACTATCTAGTTATCGTCGATGTTATAATTGAAGTTGTAATACAAATATGACCTAAAATCTATACAATTAATTTGAGTCTTATTGTCATTAAAAACAGTTTCCATAATCATTCCCTCATTTATGTAATTGTACAAAACATGCCTCTATAAGTATAGGGCAAGAATAGGAATAAAGAGACATTTTCTTTCCATAAAGATCTTAGACTTATTCTACTATTTCTTCTTTCTCTCATTCACTCGGTTTTAACTCTTGAAACATGATTCATAAAGGACAAACTAGGATTCAACATCTTGAAAGGTGGTGCAGTGAGCGTGAGCATGCCCCCAGACAAAAAACAGAGCTAACTACGAAGGAGAAAACTCCCGAAGAGAGATAGTGCACATGGAACCCAATATGGAGGCTACACAACCAGACGTCCAGGCACACATCTAGGGGTTGCAAGCCCAGATGAATCTCATGATGGAGCAATTTGAGATCCTCTAGGAAACAATCGTCAAGAGAAATGACCAGACACCTCATATGGAGGCACAACCTCAAGGGGTCCACCCTCAGAGGCCCCCACTGGTGGACCCGTCTGTCCTTGACAACCAAGTTAGCAATCAACAGACAGAGGGACAAGGCAAGTCCCATCACATTGACATTGGTGCGTCCACAGAGCCAAACAAACGATGGGAAGAGTGGATGCAAGTACCTCTCCGACAGTTGGCAGGAGTGGCATTCACCCAGCAAATATAAGAATCTGCACCCTGATACGTTGGTTTTTTATTATATCATTTTTTATTTAATATGAGTATAATTTTAATTTTGATTTTGGAAAAAAATGAGATCAAACAGATCTCTTGTATTTAATAGTTTAAATAATCGAGCGCGATATTATTAGTAATACTTCATCTCAAAAGAATATCATTTGATAATAGACTCAACTATTCAAACTAAGAAATTTATGATATTTAGTTGGCCTGCAAAATTTTCAACGGATCATTCACATACTTAATATAAAAATTAGGTAGGTTTTAGATTATTTGGGTTATTAATTCTCATATAGACGCAACTCTCTATAGTTAATTAAATCTTAAGTAACCTAAATTACTTAAAAAAACTCTCAATTAAAGATTGGGGTTTCGTCTTCAAGAATTCAAAGTTTAGTTTTCACGATTAGTCATAGGAAAATCAAGTGGAAATGACTCATATAGGAACAACTATTTCGGAAACAAATGAGCGAAATGTAGGAGATGTCACAGATTTTGAGGAGAATCTCAATGACTTCCCGAACTATCTTATTATTTGGCTTTATATTTTTGAAATGATGTTATTTAATGTCTCACTTCTGTCATTTTATTTAAATTTAGGGTTTACATTCACATGTTATATTATCATGCAAATAACTTAAGAAGATATGATGTTTTACTTCGTACCAGACGAACAACCTCGAGATCCTAAAAAGAGTTAGGGTTTATATCGCACGACACACAGTCGTATGAAGGTCTAAGAGATAAAGTGAGGATTTACGTCGTGCTAGACGAACAACACTGAAGTCATAAAAGGTTTATGTTATTTAAAACTATGAAAATTTTAGTTGAGGATCATCCTTTGCTTCGTGTTTTGTTTTGATACTTACCAAAAGGTTGTCTACCGCTCGATCACATCATAACCTCGTTCTATGAAAGGGGGACGGTAGAGAGAAAACCGTGTCTCGGACAAACTATTCTAGGTCCTTTGTTTTGTTGTTTTGACTTTAGAGGGTACATTTAGGTTGATGATTACTTTGTTATTACCATTTATTATTGAGTCAATAAGTTTTATTATAGGGTTTTTGCCTTAACATATGTCCTACGTTCTCTATCTTAAGGTCCTTTATTAGAAAATAATTATACATTTACAGTTTTACACAGTAAGCATGTGTCATATGTTCACTACCCTAGGGCACTTTTCTCACATGTCAGAAAAGCAGTTAATATCAAAAGGATAATATATAAAGAAAACATGCATAGTCAAGTAAAGTAAAAAAGAGAAAGTGCTAGTGCGCACCTGCCGCCTCTAATGAAATTGCAATTATTATAAACATCAAATATGTTAAAATCTAAATATGAAATATATAGGCATGTGTGTTTGTATAAAACTAGGTGATACATATTTGAAAGATCAGAACTGAATATAAGTATTCTAGAGTTAGGGATGGGCTCAGATTCAGGGCTATTGGCCTCGAAAATTTTCTCGAGGGACTTCCATAGGCAATCATAGACATCTGTGCTTATAAAGTCCAACCTCGGGTAGAAATTGCCATCAAGACAATCGAAGGACAGTAGTTCTTAGCCTAATCAAGGTATCTGACAACTGGACAACCAGAAGGCGACACCCAAAATTCTTAATTTGTCGTACACATAAATAAAAAAGATTTTCACTTAGCAACCAAAATTTTAATTCCACAAGAAAAAAATGATTTTTATTATATTGTTATATGTTTTATAAATCATACTGTCCACAAGTCAATCACACTGTTGAGCTAGAGCCACCAGCAACCCAAAAAAATAAGGGCAACTTTTTACTAAAGGTTGGCGAACAATAGTATCAATCATACATCCTCACGAGATCCATGGGTTTAGAGTATAGTATTATTCTTCCATCCGGAATTTAACATCAGTTACCTTTTGCATCATCACCCGTACCACTAACACGTCCAACTTATTTACTAGCCTGATGATCCATATAAAATTGCCATGATTTAAGTTTCTCAAATTACCAAAGAGAGTTTAAGCACAATATTCAAATCCCAAACCCTTAAATATTGGATTTCACTTTTCGTTAAGATGTATCAGATGATTTTTTTTTTAATTTAGTTTTTCATTTAGTTTTTGATATATCCCTTAATCAGGTTAAAGCTTGGGAAATTTTAGAGTATTTAGTTGTTCATTACTTAGTGGGCTCAAATTTGGGGATTAGATGTTTCCAAGCCATTATTCCGACCACTTGGTCATCCAATCATGGGTGCCCTTTTAATCCTCAATAATTTACAAAATTTAAAATTTTACCCCTCTTATGCTTTATGTGACTTGATGACCACCCTAACTAATCCTTCATGTTTTAAACGTTTCAATAAATAATTGATCATAATTTTCACCTAATTGCCCTCTGATGTGAGCTATTGTTAACTAATTAAGAGGCTAAGGTGCAAATGTGAAATTTACAAATACACCTCAATGTGTATGAAACCCTATTGCCAGAACGAAGCGGGAGTGAAACGTTGTTACCACCGAAGGTGTCATGTTTTTCTCTCAGAATCCAAGGCAAGGAGGCGCCGAGAGATATAACAGTCCCACTCCGCCGACAGCAACGAAGAACAGACACATTGCCCCCTAATGCGGAGAGTTTAGCACACCTCTAGAAGTCCACCACACCCATTCACAGGAAGGGTCTCTGCTTTTACATTTAACGCGACTTAGTCAAGGTTCAATATGGATGCTCATGCCTGAAGAAAGTGAGAATCCGCACCAATAGAGGATTCTCTCCACAGCCGATTGAGTAAGGGGCAATCTCACACCTCTCCACCCTCACGAGTCTGACACTCATGTTGAAAAAGGCAAGGACAGGTGAATCCATCCTCCCTTTTTTCGAGGGCGGAAAGTGCTCAACACATTAATGGTATATCACATTGTTTAATTTCCCAAAAAAAAAAGACTAAACATCACCATCAACCAGCCTTTAATGCGTCTCCAGTTCCCACAAAAGGACATTAAACGCGGAATGGTTCAAAGACTTAGGGAATTTCGCCCGGCCAAATCCCGCCGAACGAGTATCCTTACCGATCAAACTCCAAATAAGAGTGAACAAATAAGCACAACTAACTTGAGAGCAACAAAATAGCCACACCACAGATGAGGAGCCACAAAAATAAAGTACGAGAAAAGCGAAGCATTCTTCAAACCACTGCATTATATAAATAGCAAAATCTATGCGTCAAATAAATTCTAATAGTTTAGGTGTTATCTACATAAATTTTCCAATAATTTATTTAACATTTCGTCAAGTAAAAATATATAAAATGTCAAGAAGTTGCTATCAAGAAGGAACATACCACCCACTTCTAATAACACAGTGCGCACCGAACTGTGAGGTGAAGCATTAACTACTGCAATTGCATCTTATCGTGGCCTTCTTCAAGCCACAGCACCAACTGGCATGGAAAACTCCACCATCCCGCATTGAATCTGCCACACCAAAATAGCACAACTATAACTCTCGCCTCCAACCATCCCATTTCCTCTCCGCTTCTTTCCCCTTCCAATTTCCATCCTTCCCCATGGATCCCATCTCCTTCCTCAAGATTTCCCTGAACCCCGACGGCTCCCTCACCCGCCACGCCGCACTCCCCACCATCGCCCCCACCCCTGTACCGGACCCCTCCCTTCTCACCCTCTCCAAAGATGTCCCGCTCAACCACACGCATCGCACATGGATCCGACTCTTCCTCCCCGCCTCCCCTCCTCCCGCCCCACAAACCCTCCCCCTAAACCCTCCCCCTCATCCTCTACTTCCACGGAGGCGGCTTCATCCTCTTCAGTGCCGCCTCCGCCCCCTTCCATGCCACCTGCTCCTCAGCTTCTCTACCCGCCCTCGTCCTCTCCATCGAATACCGCCTCGCCCCAGAGCACCGCCTCCCCGCCGCCTACCACGACGCCAATGACGCCCTCCTCTGGCTCCGCGGACAAGCCCTAAACCCCTCTGTCTCTGACCCCTGGCTCCGCGCTCACGCCGATTTCTCCCGCTGCTTTCTCATGGGCAGCAGCTCCGGAGGAAACATCGCCTACCGAGCCGCGCTCCACGCCACAAGCATCAATCTCGAACCACTGAGGCTTGAGGGACTGATACTGAACCAGCCGTACTTCGGCGGGGTGAAGCGCACCGAATCGGAGGAGAGGCTGGCGGAGGACAAGATCGTTCCGCTTCCAGTGAACGATCTGATGTGGGATCTGTCGCTGCCGGAGGGAGCTAGCAGGGAGCATGAATTCTGCAATCCGTCGGCGAAGGAGGAAGAGGGCGTGGAGAAATTGCCGCGGTGCTTGATCCGAGGGTTCGTGGGGGATCCGCTCATTGATCGACAGCGGCAGCTTGCTCGGATGTTGGAGATGAGAGGGGTTAGGGTTGTGGCGTTACTGGAGCAAGAGGGACACCACGCCATCGAGCTTTTTAAGCCTGAAAAAGTTGACGATCTCGTCGAACAAGTTGCGGGCTTCGTCTGCGGATCCGTCGGAGTCGACGAGGGCAAGCTCTGATAAATAGAGATTATAATAATACACTTATTATATTTAAATGTGTATAATATTATTGTGCGACCTCAGTATGTAATATTCTCAATTATTCTGGTTATATCTAAATAAAATAAGTGACATCTCTTGATAATTTAAATGGACAAATTTGCATTCATACAATTTATATTCTAATGTATTAATTTACTCTTAATCTCCATAAAATTATTGAATTTCATGATTAAACATTAATCTAATTTTTTTTGCCAAAATTAGAAGTTAATCAAGTATAGTAAGAAAATAACATAAAAATAGTTGAATAATTAGATGAAAAATCTATAGGATTATTTTTATCTTAATTTAACATATGTAAATATTAAGCATTTTAATGTTAATATGTTTTATTATAAATTTTATAATAATTATCTTCAATATTTTTTCATTATTTGTAAACTAAAATGTCACTATGAATATTGTGTCAACCAGTTCCCCAAAAAGGACATTAAACGGGGAGTGGTCACAAGACTCGGAGAATTTTGCCCAGTCAGATCTTAAGTATCCTTACCGGTCAAACTTCGGACAGGAGTGAATGAATAAGCATAGCTGACTTATCGGCAACAAAATAACCTTAGCACAGATGAGAAGATGCAAAAATAATGTATGAGGAAAGCAAAGCATGTCAAAAATAAATAAAAAAAAAGAAATTTTATTCATTCCAATTAAGGTATATATGACACTTCTGATCGACAAACATACAAGACACGTCCTATTACATCTTTTGACTGAGATAACACTTTCGGAAGAGCGAAGGCCCTACATAGGTTGCCAGGAGCTAATCCCTTTCAAACATCATTATCCAAGCAAAAACCTTGGCAACCCACCATTAGGAAGATGAGAAAAAAGTTTGGTTGTCACGACCAGCGAGAAAAGAACACTACAAGTTCGTCTCCCTAGGCAACACACAGTCAAACAGACGTGGTCCGCTATGGGAATATGTTGAACCCCTCCAATGGGTTAGCATGGCTCTTTCCTTCACTGATGCATCGAGTGTGGGACCTCGCTTTCGAAAGAGGAAGAAGACTCCCCCGACGAAGAATCAAATGTGGTTAAAGGGTTAGCATGGCTCACCCTGATCCACTCGGATAGGGAAACGAAGGAAGGAACTTTGGTCTGATAATATGACGAAGCAATGGTTGTCTGTGTCAAATCGGCGGGGACACTGGCTGCAGAAGATGAAGGAGTTGCGACCACAATTCTATCTAGAGTCCCTTAAAAAGCCAACTCTCTCTCGCCGCCTTCCCCTGCATCAAAAAAATGAGAAGCACATTTTTTGGGAAGTAGCAGTGACCTTATTGACCACATTGTCTTGAACAACAACACTATCAACAGTCTCAGAAACAAAGTATTTTGAGGCCATGCTATGAAAGGGTTGGTCTTTATCTTCAACCAGATTATATGATTTGGGGAGGCGCTTCCCGTTCTGACTCTTAGCAGCCAAATTTCACTCATCGCCTTCGCTCGGAGCTCCTCTATAATGTCTAAATTGTATCATTGCTCCTTCGTCACTTTACCCACCAACACACGGGTAATTGTCACCTCAGCGGTATATTAAAGAACCAAGAGATGACAGTCAGACAACATCTTCAGTGCAACGGTCATGCTCCCTGTAAGAGACCTCGGGTGGGACACCTTACACCCTGACAACTCGGTCTGGATTCCTTAAGCACCATAATAGAAATTGAATAGGAACTTCTTCTTCCAATCCTTTATCTTATTCTCCACTCCTACGAAGTGGAGTTCCTTGCCCACTGAGAATATAGCTCAGCCATCCCTGTCAAGCTTGAACGAGAATAAGTATCTAAAGAGTTTGATTGATCACACGAGATTATCATACCTACAGAAAAGGTTGAAAGTCATGATTGCGGCTATGGAGTTTGGAATCACTTGTGCAGGAATAACCCTATATGTGTTGAAGTTGTTTCGAAGCTCCTGACACAAGGGCAACCAGAGGCCATACTTGAGCTGGTCTCATTAGAAGGCTGGGTCTTTTCCCAAAGGATCCATCGCTTAAGCAGATCTAGGCAACTTCCGAAGACCTATGCTCTCGTCAAGAACATACCTTCGTTGCAGGTTGCTCACTTATTTCTTTGTAAAAAACAAAGGTTCAGTTCCCTTCACAATGTTGAAGAAGACAAACGAGTGTGTGGGGGCCATCTCGAGAGACAAGAGCAGACCAACCGAAGGACGAGAGGAGAAGAGAAAACATAAGAGAAAAGAAATAAATAAAAGCACATAAAATGAAAAGAAGCATATCCTTTCTCTATTTATAAGGAGAGCACATCTGGCGAAGCATCACATGATGATAAGTATCACACCAAACGTCTTTTCAAAAATTCATTAAAAAATCATTTTATTGCGAGTAACATTATTATAGCCCTTGGAAGAAGTGTTTTATAAAGGGATCCTCCAAGATTTCGAAGGGGACATGCGCCGTCAACTTCTAGAGAACCATCTCTCCTAACATAATCTGGTCCACCCGACCAGCTTCTCGGATGAACTTCGCTAGATCAAACATATCACGGAGTGCCTCCAACTCACGCAACACCGAAAACGATGAGTTCCATTCGCAAAACCATTACTTCAGCATCCAGGTAAGGAGATAGCTCCTGCACAGGTTCAACAGCCAAATTGTTGACAAGTTGCTCAAAAGAGTCGACTGGCCTCGCTAACAGTTCGGTCTCCACTGTCTATTGCTCTAATAACTTGGGGGATTGCGTCCGCCCTGACGATCCCCCCCAACCAAAGATCTATCATGGACGATTGGTCGGGCTGCTAATGAATTGCCATGGTTAATAGCGGCGTGAGCCACACATCTTCAACCTGCATAACGACCACTGCGGTAGGGACAAACCTGCAGCATTCTTTGATAACCCGTCATCCTGGTGTTCCTCCGACCCGACCAATTCATCCATAAAGTTCTCCATTGAGGAGACAGTATTAAAGCCCTCCTCTCCCTTTGACATCGAGACACCCCCACTTTCTTGTGGCAAAAGCTGAGGGAGGGTCGTGACATCCACTCCATCCAGTTTAGACTATTGCATGAATAAGCTCTTGAAGAACATTTGGATTCAAACTATTTTTAATTTTTAATTAAGGGTAATATGATAGTGAGTTCATCTAATAGGGATGGCTAATAAGTTGTCAAAGATTCACAATTTCATTAATCTTTAACATCATATTTGTTAAACATTGATAATTGCAAATTCAACAACAAAAATTATTTTGTAATTGCTTTCAAACCTTAATGAGATAACTAGCGTTGGATTACCTAACACCTCTAATTCGATACATGTAAAGCGCAACTCATTAAATGAGTTGATTTTTAAAGATATAATGAAAGCAAACCAATATATTTTATAGACTTTGAACTTTTTTTAAATATATATCAAATCTTGTTTCAATCTTGATCAAATTTTAATCACTTATACAAACAAGTTACGCACCGAAGTAAATCTTATACAAGTATTCTTCATACCTTATTTAAAAATGCTTATAAGATTTCTACCATAATAGACAAGATCCGTTTAACATTCGAACAAGACTTGACAAAATGATTTAACGGTCTTTGCTTAATTTTCAATCAACATTTGCTTAGGTTAATATGGTTTTTGATGTCCTTGGGATACCGATGTTTGGAGCACGAATAAAATTTTGTCAAGATTGTAAAGAATTTTAGGGTCGGTTTAGGACACAACTATAACTATTTGAAGAAATAGCTATAAAGCTATTACAGAATAAGCTGATGTTCAAAAAACTGTTGTGGCTATTATAAAAAATTTTATTTTTTAAAAAGGCAAATCATAATTTTCTAGCAACCACAGCAGAAAACTAGATATGATGGTAAAACATTGCTTTCAGTTTCAACTTTTTGAAAAAGTTGATGCCAAACAAGAAAAACTGTATTGTGGCGCTACATCGCCACCACACTATCACCCCAAACGCACCCTTAATTAGCATTTGAAGCAGTTAATCGATTGTTTAATGTGGCCTTAAATGTAGGAGTTACTGTGAATACAACACTCATTACAATAAACTAATCAAATATATAACATTAGTAATCTTGAAAACAAATTAGAGATGGAAATGGAAAGGAAGATGAGCACTTTCCCTTAATACGTGAACAATGATGGCCAAAAAAGGGCCCTGGGAAGATAAATGATTCAGATATTAGTTCTCTCCTAATTGTTCATTCTATTTATCATTTTATTATAACACCACTTTAAATTAATATTAGTTTATCTCTTTCATAATAAGAATGCCGCAACTCGTAAACAACAAGCTCGAGTTCAAACTAGATAAAATTGATCAAGTTCGAGCTTAAGCTGAGAGTAACTCAAGCTTGACTCCATTTGTTTGCACTCTAAACACGTGCCATTTATTTTAACTTTCGAACACTCACGTGCATATAAGGTTGTAAATGAACTAACACACTCGATAAATAACTCAAACTCGGCTTGATTAAGACTCGATCAAGATCATAATCATGTGATATTCATTTTGTAAATTTCAATTATTTAGAATGACTCCCACGTGAAGAGATGTTGAATTTGCTCATGCAACAAAAACCCTGAGAGCTATTATAGTTACTCATATTCATGATTATAATCATGTGATAATATTTTTGTGGCTTTTATTATGCATATAATAAATCATCTTTATCTATTATTTATACTACATGCCATATTTTTTTGTCGTTTATGTAATAATAATTATTTGTTATTTACTAGTAATTATTTGTTATTTACTGAGTTTGATTTGTTAAACTCAACATTTTCAACTTTAAATTTACTTTTGGTATTTTTCAGCCTCTCATTACTTATTATATATATATATATTTTGGATTTGAGTAGTTATTTCATTGTTGTTATTTTTGTTTCTTTCAATTATTTTTTTATTTACTTGAGAAGCATCAGTTTTATGACTTTAATTTACGAAATGAATGAAAATTTACTATTTATTGCTTATTTCTATTATTGTTTTTTTATAATCATTCCTTTTGAGAATATAAAACATGTTTAATTCTTTTCATCATGTCTTTTGCTTTGTGGTGTATTGCCTTCCAGATTATGATTGTGGCAAATTCTCCTTAACCGCTCATCAAATTATTAGTTTTTTTTTCTTTTTATTGTTAAGTTTTGCTAGTTTTACTAATTTTTAGGAGGGTGTAGATATGAACAATAAACATAACGTTGCAGTTTCTGCAAATTATATAAATTACACAGTTTTACTCAACAAAAGATGAAATTTGAATTTTGATTATGAGTCTACGAAACACACGTGAGAGAAAAAATAGTTTGAAAATCTGTAGGTGGATGACAAATTGGAGATGGGCAAATATTTACTTCTGTGCGACAACTTGCGAAATGGGCGGGCAATGGGGGATATAAAATTAATCGTGAGAGATGAGGAATAAGACGAGGTTAATGGCGAGCGCTTGTCGGGAGACAAGTTAGATACTGGAGATGAAGACGAGGTGTTGATAAATGGGATTAGAAGAAGTAATGGAGTGGTTTTCTTTCAAGTACCAAGTGTTTTGGCTTGTTTAAAATTTTTGTGTTGGGGAATGTTCTAAGTCTTAGATATGTAAATCTTTTTTTATTGGGATTTAAAAGTTTATGATTTTTATTAGCAAAAAGGATAAGCGATCGTGCAAAGTTAAGAATGCGGCTTACTTATCTTGTCGCCTGCTCGCCTTCCCTATCTTCGTTTCCTTCAGACCGGCGAAGTTTCTCTCCCAGGAAACCTAGGTTCTTTCCGAGGTATTGCTCTCTCTACCCCTTTTTCCACCGAACCTAACTTCTTCACGCGGCATTGATACCTTTCCCGAACTCTCCTCTTTCTATGGACCTAAATTGGAACCATTCATGGAAATTTCAGGGCGGAGATGTCACTGGTGTCTCAAGATGGCCACCCGCCGCTTGCAGAAAAGATAGTAGTGGTTGATTGTCCTTTGTATCCGCTTTCCTACCGACATCGATTGATTTGGTGCTTGATTTGCCTTTTGTTTTTTTGATTTTCCCCATTTTTGTTATATTTGGACTGCCAGTTGGGGTGTGGCGCACTGTCAGCCGATTACTTGGCCACAGTAGATGCATTTCCCAAACCCGATGATAAGATCCGGAGCACAAGTCTTAAGGCACGACTCCTGTTAAGATTATTTCCTTGCATTTTAACTGATTGAATGCTTAGAGAACTGATATGCATGTTTATGGTCAGGGGCAGAACCTGGCTCTATTATAAGAGTGGTCAATCTTATTATCAAATAAGTTAATTTTAATGCAAATGAAATTGATAATACATACTTCAAAATAAAATTCTGTATTTTATTAGGATTACAAGTTTTTCAGTCTATTTTGAATTTCTTGATAATTTTACGTGACAGTTATGTTAAGTATTTAGTCAAATGCTTTGTTTTTATTGTAAGCTACTCGGCACTCATTGAGTCGGTTATCCATTCTACCATGCAATCAATACTTGACATTGTTCATTGCAGAAATGCTCCCTCAATTGTGTGAGTGTGTGTATGCACGCTAGAATGTGTGTGGAAAGGAGAAGTCTTAAAATTTAAATTTTTTCACTGAAAAATACAAATATGAAAATTTAAAGCATAGTTTATGACCTGGAAGCAAAAAATATAAGACAATTATAATGGCAATGCTTAGGAATAGATTTACCTAAGATTTTTTATGTGAATCTAAAAGGGTTGTTCCTTCAATTCTGTTTTCATCGTGGTGTCTTTGACTGTCTTTCAAAAACTTGGTCGGTGGGTACTGCATGTAGTCTGGGTGGAGCAAACAAGGATCATGAGTGGAGGTGTGTGTGTATGCACGCGCGCTTTCCTGCGTCTCTGGAGAAAGATAAAAGCCTTAAAATATTATTTTTGACTTACGAAGCCAAATATGAAAACCTAAAGCATAGTTTTGATCAGGAAGCCGAAAGCTTGAGACAAGTTTAACGGAAATGCTTAGAAATGGAGTTACTTGAGATATCTTATGCAAATTTGAAAGGGTGTTCTTTCTTTTTAATTCTTTTCTACATAGTGGTGGTTTGTTGTGTCTGTCAAGAACTTATTCGATGGCATATGTTGGCTGCGCGTGGCTCGGGTGGAGCCAAAAAGGAGCCTGAGTGGGGGTGTGACTAGTGTGTCTCTGCATGACTGTGATGTTGTGTGTGGGTGAGATTGGGTTGGGGATGCTAGAAGGGAAAAAATAGTGTAGCCACTAGCCAGTACTTATTTAATAATTTTTGATACTTTTATGGGCTAGCTGAATCAACGAGTAGTGGGACAAATTTATTAAATTAAATTTCCTTATAAAGTAATTTTCAAAAGAGGAATTGGGCAATTGCTCACCCTGGCATATATTCAGTTCTGCCAAATTTATGTTATATAAAATTTGCCTGTTTTTTGTTGGGAAAATGGCCTTTTGAGATTAAAAGTTGCAAAATCTCAGTCCATACTTGTTACTTATTATTGCTAAGCGTGGTGGGTTATAGGGCCATATGTTAGTGGCAGAATTTGGCAAATGGATGTTTTTCAAAAAAAAAAAAAAGTTGCCATTCTAATGATGAATATTTCTATTTTTAGGTAGCATTTAATTATTTGTGATGCAACATTTTTTATTTTCCCACAAGCTGGTTAGGATGCATGTTCAATGATGCAATGCATTTTCTCATATATGTTATAGTTTAGCTAAGACAAATTTGAACTACATTAGATTGATTAGATTACAACTCTTATTGGAAAAAAAATGATAAAAAAAACTACTAAGTATTTAATACACATGCAGTGGGAACACATATGTATTACCTGGTATATCTAAGTATCATACTTTTACAAAATGGAGACAGAATTTGCATCTTGTTTCATTTGAAAGGGAAGAGGGGTAGTGTTGTGTAATTGAATTGAGGGGGACAAGAACTTTGGCTGACAACTTTTGAAGCCGGAGATGGAGAGCGGGGAATGAACTTGTGATAGGGAATCATTTACCTCACATTACCTTTATGAAAGTCTTCAAAAGAGGAGGGCATCATCGCATAACCTAGGAAACTTGACATAAGCTTTTGCTGAAAATCCCTAGCTATAAATGATTATACAAGGTTATTTGTAGAACTGGCATGAGCTGAGCAATAACATAGCAATTTGTTGAAAAAAAAGAAAAAAAAAATGTTTTTATTCAAATAAGGCAGAAAAGTTAAAACTTTTGTAAGAGATACACAACTCCTTTAGCAAGGCGAAAATAGAAAACAATAAAAAATAATCTCTGTTCTTATTTTGTCCTATGACAAAGTGAAAAGGATGAAAGCAATAAATAGAGAAGTTTTTTAGTACATAAATTTAAGGAATTTAATTTATGTTGTCATTTCCTTCAATTATAAGTATGTGCCTATCAAAATAAAGAAAATACAGATCTTCTTGATTTAAGCATGCGATGGGATCTCTGAATGGAATCTATGATACTTTTGGGCTAGGTTGGTGTTGGAAAATACTAGAGGAATTTGTGGACATTTGGTTGTTGACAAGCTTTAAAAAGATTTCAAAATTGCTTGAGTGATGGCTAGCACCTTGAAGACTCCAAAAATATTATTGTATTGTTGGTCGTATCTTTGAAGTCTTCCAAAATGCGCACAGGATTTTCATATTTCCCTTCAAGCTGAGACTATAGTTCATTCTTAGTTTGGGCATACGTGTCAATTTTAATTGATTATTTAATTTGATAAGGATATTAACAGTTTGATATCACATTGGAGTGTAAATATTCTTGATAAATTCTTGTTCAAAAATTTTCTTTGTAAGCAATCGCAAGGTGTTTAGCCTTATCATGATGGACATGGTTTTAAATAATATTGATTCTAGCTTGATTGTCACGGATTATCATCATTGGTTCTTGAGCATAAACTTTTAGTTCTGCCAGAAGCCAATTAGGCCGTGTTCCTTTGTGAATTTCAGGGGCCATTTTACTTCAATGCAACTTCAAACAACAACATACTTTTTCCTAAACTTATTCAAGTAATTCACTTTTCTGTACAAATGAGAAATAAGCAGATGCGGGTTTAAGATTAATTGCAAATTGCCCTGTCACTTCAATGACAATTTCAATACTTCTATTTATTCCCTTTTTGAATAGTAGATCTTTTTCCTCATGAATTTTAAAGATATTTAATATCCTTTGTATTTATTTAAAGTGTTCCTCTATGAGATTATTTGTATTTACTAATTACACTAACTTGAAAGCTGTCAAGTCTTTTGTGAGAAAGGTAGTTGAGTTATCTTACTAAGTGTTGATGCCATGCTTTATCCACTCTTATATTATTTTTTAACTCAATTTATTAAGATCCATTGGAGTGTTAGTTGGTGTTGAAAATTCATATGAATCTAACATGTTCTTTTCCCTTTAGAAGAGGTGAAAGTTTGGAGTCTCATTTTTCCACCTAATTTTCTCATTAATTACTTCTTTCAATTCAGGCATTTTTAAAACTTATTGAATGATGTTTGGAATTTCCTTGCTAGAAAAATTTTTAATGAAAATGTGGAACTTAAGAGAGAATTTTTCCCACGTAATATAATAAAATATTGGATGTTTGTTCTAAGTATTTCAAAATTTCATGTGAGCAATGAGAATGTTCAAATCATCATCCCAATCCATGTCACCTTGTGAAGTGGATTTAGGACTTTGGTAATACTTGAGCTTAGTTTAGTAGCAATGCTTTAATCTACATCGTTAGTTGAGTTTTTTTAATCACCTAGACTAGAAAATTCCTCTATACCTTGCTAATTGTATGTAATCTTGGGAATTTTTACGGTGTTCATAAGTATGAGATTCAATTGGCTCAAGTAGGTTTAAAAGAGATGTAGATTTAGATAAAACATGTCCAAGAATAATAAAATAATGGATGTTTTCATAAAATTCATATTCATGGAGTGGGTTGGAGTTTTCTTTCTAAATGTGAGTTTAAGATAAAAAAGTTAATTTAAAAGACAAGGCCTTCGTGTTGCAACATTTTTTAATAATTGGAGAATATCATTTATATTCTTATGTGTAAGATGAGTAGCTAATAAAAATTTATTTTATGATGTTGAGCTTAAGTTTGCTTCTTTGAGATAGAGGAATATGCTCAGTGTCATAGCAACAAAAAATTTAAATGGATATGGTGGAGATGAGTTTGTTCATGGGATTGGATTTGGTGAAAGTTTGATAAGGAGTTTTGAATTTTATAACTCTTGATGACATGCAATTAATGTGATATGCATGGGTAGGAATAACTTCCCATTTTATTGAGTCTTTATACAAATTTTGGTAGGCAATTCCCTGTTGCAGTAGATTGTCTCTAATAATAGAATAAAAATATTTTCTTCAATGATCGATCTTGAAGGATTAATTTGGGTTTTCATTTAGGTTTGCATCAAAGAATGAATTTTTTAAAAAATAGGACCAATCTTGAATTTTCTTTAATTAGAAATATTTAAGTGATTTTAGCATGATCATAAAAAAAAAGATACATAAAACCTAGCACCAGAGATGATGTTCATTCGAGATGGTCCACCAATATCACTATGAGTGACTACAAATGCTTGTGAGGCTTGTTATGAATGACTATGATAACTATTCCATGTATGTTTAGACATTTGACAAGTTTTACATTGCAGTGATGTAGAATTTTTATTGGTGAAGAATGAAAAAAAAAAAAAAAATTTATAAGATACATGAAGCTAGTATGACCAATGCAAACTTGCCACAATATGATTGCAATTTCATTATTATAATAAGATATATTATTGTAGTAAGATATTGAGCATTGCTTCACTTGTGTTTTAGAAGTTTCATCAACATTCAAAAGGTAAAGTCCAACATTTTTTTGGCTTTGCCAACAATGAGAAGAATTTAACAACAAAATTAATAACTTGATAATTTAATTGATTGAAAATAGCTTGCAAGTAAATTTAGGAACCCTGATAATCAATTTAAATCAGGCGAGCTTGTGATTCTAATTGTTTCAATTTCAGTTACTTCAGATAATGACCCATTGACAGGCGTGATAATGTATTTTTTCAAACAAGGAGGTGCGATGTGGAATAATGAGGCATATAATAAGGAGCTCTAAATTCAGCAATTCAACATAATGGTTTTTCCTTTTTGG